TATGATCAATGAAAAAACTTCAACAAATCCAACTCAATTCCATTTTGAGGCGAAATAGAGCGCCATAATAATGACTTCCCCCTGAGTACGCCCTTGGGTGATGGATGACATGGGCACATAATTATTTATATATTATTGATATATAGACAATATATACGAATAATAGTGGCTTCATCTATAAAAAACAGAGCTGGTCGAATTTTTCTAGCAGGATATATTTATATTTATTTATAATCTATAGACAACTTTAAAATAAAGTAAAGTTCCTTAAAGAATCGAATTCTATTACAACTCCACAATATCTTCATTAATTAAAGCTTCATTAAGCTGTTCATAAATAAATGAATAAAAATAAAATATTTATGTTTTGTGTGCTTAAAATTCCAATAGTAGGTAGTACTGGACTAAATGGTACTATAATTAAACATTTAACAACTTACACTAATTATGCAAGCCGGATAATAGAACGGGATTAAAAGTGATTTCACTCAAGATTGGAAAAAATCAAATTAAAGAACAGTTTTGTGCCTATAATAAATATGTCTACTTTTCTTGGAAACATTTAACATTTTGGCATTCAGTGCAGAATTCCAGTAATTTATGCCGCCTTTAGGCATAGACAAAGTCAAGTCCGACTTGAACTCGCGGTCATTGTAATTCATTCGACCGCTTTGGTTTATTTCCTTCCGTTTGGGAAGCCAAGATGTGTGATAATAGAAAAGCTTGGCACACCCACAGAATCAAGTTCAAAGCCATTTGGAAAAACTTCCGCGGTCCGAAAATTGCAACTAATTTTCAACTCAGCAAGCACAAAGGCATCTAAAATGACATACAATCTAGATAGCACTAAACGACTTAAAAACTTACAAATCATGCACGAGACAAGTTCCGCTTGCCGCCTTTGTTTTGCATGTCTTTATAGCCTAATAGTTTTTAGCGCTGCCATTGTTAGACCACATCTACTCTTACATACTTGTTTATTATCAATACACCAGCATGGGAATGATGGAAATTCTTGTACGATTATTTAGTGGGGCATGCTCATTAGAAGGTGCGCTTTCGATGATGTCAGTGAATAAACCATAAATTAAAATGGTATTCACACCCAGCCAATGGCACAAATTGGACACAATTACTTAATTTAAAAGAGCAAATACGAGTACAGATTGCGCATACGCAGCGATGCTAATAATCCAGTCAATCAAATGAACCAAGCCATAATGAGCTGGCAGAGCAAAAACAATAATGAAAACAGATTTTAAAAACGCCCAGAACCCTGTTGTAATTAATTTTGATTTGCCACTCTTGAGTGCAACCTTGAACTTAAAGCTAATGTGCGGGGCGTATTTATTAGAACGTAGATTCGTAATTTACTTTCGCTTTTTATCCATTAAATGCAGTCATTTAAAAAACGCTGTTGTTGTTGTTGTTCGCGCTGTCGACATTAAACTTGTGGCTAACAATCATCAAATCATAAACAAGATTCTTGCGAAACGCCATCACATTGAATTTTGGGGAAAGGCCCAGCTCTGGGGCCGAATTGCGGCGCCAATGATATAACAACAAATTTACGCACAGGCGACTATGTAGAGCATTAAAGCTAATTAGTCTATAAGCGCAACAACAACAACGGACCATTTCTTTTCGACAGCTTTGCTTTTGCCTTTTATTGCCATTGTTATGTATGCAATTTGTGAGCTGCGACGGTCAAAGGTGTTAATAGCAGCCGGTCTCTTGTATAACTCGGCAATGTTGGTAAAATGCTCATGTCGTATTCGATTCTCAATTGCAACTGAATGTACTGCTGTTGTTGTTGTCTTGGATGAGCAAACAACATGTCCATAACTTTTCATTGAACCTGACCGTCTGTCTTCAAACATAAAGCAGTTATTTGGCGAGTGCGGATTGTGACAATAAACTTCCTCGAAACGTGAGCTGGTAAGTCCGAAGTGCTTAGCATGTATAATTGGCCAGTTAGCTTGTGGATCGTGTAATAATTTTGTTGTTGCTGCTTTTAGTTATGTTTCCGTTATTATGACAATGGCCTCAAGCATTCAAGAAACTTACAAGCGGACTTTTGGTCAAACAGATTGAAACCAGCTGCAAGCACAACTATCTACTGTTAGTGAAGCTCGTACTTTTCTTTCGTTACTTGCATTGCTCCGAATTGCCGACTAATCCGCTGAATAGGGAGTGCACCACTGCCTCATTATGCAGCAACAAATTATTAGATAATTATGCATTATAATTAAGCCCAGTCGACAGCTACTGTCATCGGGCGGGTGCTCAGACCTCTGTGCTGCGAATCATTTTGTTCATTCGAGTTTGAAGTCGTGTAATTATTTTTTTTGTTTGCTTTTTTTTGTACCCTATAGCTGAAGACCAACTACGGCTAATTCGAAATCGTTCTGTGATATGTAACTTACAAAACGTTGCATCTAGAAACTGTTGTTCTATACACAGAAGAAGTTAAGGTTCTACACTTTCAAAATTTCTAATTTCGCATTCATAGTCATAACTATAAATGGTCATAGCTCAGAAGATAAACAGCTTTATCAGAAAATCATATTATGGTATAATATATGTAAGTGTATTGAAATCGCAAACGAAAATGTCGAACTTCCCTGAGGATACATTATGTCCAATATTGAATATTGAACCACTCAATTGTTTTTATCGCTTTGTTTCGAATTTTTTGTACAACTGAATTTTTCTTTGTGGTGCAAGCTCAGCTTTATATAATTAATAAAAGCAATTAATAGTCAAATATATCAAATTTCTGAATATTTTAGTGATTAAGTAATAGGGTTTATAAAAGTCGGATCGCACGCCACTATAGCTGTTGGCATTTTTTTCGCCGAGTGAGTGCCGTGAATTTGGATTGGGTTGCACCCTCAACGCTCGTGCGCATGTTTTTAGTGACGAACAATTTCTAATTTATGTATACTGAGTGTAACAATAACAACAATAATAATAACAGCAACAACAAATACAAAAACAACAACGGCAACGACAACGACAGTAATAAAAGCGCCAACAAATTATGTGAACTTGTTATATCACTGAGAGAGTGCAGAAGAAATGCAAACCGACAGGCTTCAAACCATTTTCAAAAGCAGCTTTAAGCTGATGGAAAACCAAAACACAAGGCAGTCGGTAAATGCAGTCAAAATAACAACAAAAGCACTAGCAATAGCAATAACAGCAGTTTTACTTTCTTTGCGTTACGCTTCTTGACCTGGCCGTGCATTGCTATAACCATACTTTTCCAAATTATTTATATACAGACATATATACTTATTTATTTAAAGTGCGGTCAGTGTCCAGGCTCCATGCCGCATAACGAAAAATAACTATTTGTGGCCAGACATTGAACGCCAGGCAAATGAAATGCTTCAATGATGCTCGCAAAATTCAAGCAGCGAGATAAAGCGTGTTGTCTGTGCAGCTTGTTGTGGCGCGGCAAATGCAAAACAAGTGCATTCACAGATGCAGCCACACAGACAGCCGAAGCAGTGGTGGCGGTGGCGGTGGCGGTGAAGGCTGCATAGAAACTCAAAAGTTCAACAGACGCAGGCAGGCGCCTTTGTTGTGGGCGTTTATTGCAGCAGCAGTCATTGTAAATTAATTTATATTAGCACAACAAATGTGCGCCGATGCATAAGTGTTTAAGCATATAGCATACATCTGCCTGATTTTTATATAGTACGAATACAGGTGATGCTGTATTACGGTGCATGTGTGTCTGTCTGTCTGTCTGTGTGTGTGTGTGTGTGTGTGTGTGTGTGTGTGTGTGTGTGTGTGTGTGTATGTGTATGCGGTTGCGGCGGCTTTTAGCATTTCATTACTGACATTACTTGCCGCGCAGGTTTTGCGATTGCCTTCGACTGTTTGCTGGCGCGCTCTGTGGGAGCATCGTCGGCGTTGGAAAACCGGCGCAAATTACAATATATTGAAAATAACAACATGTAAATGCAACTGCAACAACAACAGCAACAAGCAGCAGCAGAAGTAGCAATAAAAGAAGAGTTAGCTTCAAACGAAGGCTGAGAAAATCAACTGCTAAAATGTTAACAGCCACTTCTAAATGCATTGCGCTTGCTACTCAAATCAACACACACACACACACACTCACGTATATATGCAGGTAGGTGTGTGTATGTGTGTATTAGTTAATGAAAAGTATGCATCGAATTGCAGCGTGCACTTGCATTACATAAAAACCCTGATGGATTAGAAAACAAGTTGTTTGCAACTACATACGAGTACTACATACTCGTAATTCCCAATTCTAGTGCTTCATGAAAGTGTCGGAGCGAAGCTATAAAATTAAACGTATTATGTATAGATAAGTACATATGTCCAAATATCAGTTCGACGCTGTCAAATGTCTGTTCTTGCTGCGTAACTAATTAAAAATGAAAAAAAAAACTTGCATGCGATAAACGAAAGACTGAGGCAACGAACTTGAAAAACAATTAAACCGCCACGCCTAGAAGACAAGCTGAGAGAAGGGCTACAAATGGGGAGCACGTCTGATTTAAAAGTGACCATTAGGAGTGTCCTTAAAAACAAGTATTCAATCATTCGTAATTCACAAAAATCACTCAAAATCACGCGAAAAATTCGCTCATAACTATGAGAGTAACAATTCGTTTGCCAACTAACAGAAAAGCAGCTTAAGAGCGTAGAGGCTGGAAAAAGAAGAGAAACGAACTTGCCACATGCTTTGGCTCGCTCTCCATATCTCTCTTCTTGAGCTCACGTCTTGCTAGACCACTGACGGCCTCAACATTGCGAGCCGTTGGTATAAAACATAATCAACCTAAAGAAAGTCATTCATTGTGTTGTTTGAGCTGCGCGCGAACGTTAAACATATAGAAGCGGTGTCCGATTGTGGCATACAACGTAACAAAGAGGCAAAGTTGTAAGCAACGAACAACAAACAAAACATTGAAGTGCTCGGTGACATTTTTGGATACACATAATAGTATATATGCGACGCATACCTGAATAAATACCAAAAGACAAGTACTTAAGTGCAGTTGAAGTTGGAAGTGTGTGATTCAGCTCTAGGATAATACTCCGTGAGCGCTGGCAATAAATTTGGATACGCCCGATTTGACAGATCCAAGCATATACAATGCAGTAAGTTAAAGTTCCTATGATTCATGCCCTGCAGTGGCCACAAATTCGTGCAACCGTAACTGATAATTAGCATTTTGTAGCTGGTATTGTTTGCATTGAACGCGGGCTCTTTGTTTTTGTTTTTCTGACTAAGGCAGGCGTTGGAGGTGTTTTTGAGTGTACGGCTTGATTTGTGTCGCTCTCGGCGCATGGCAACCACAAAATATTCTTTCAAATTTCAAAACTTTATAATCTGACTGCGTCCCTTCCCTTCTTCCTTCTTCCACCACCCTTCCGAAGCAGTTAGCGTGCTAACTGTATTTGACTTTTTCTATCTTTTTCTCTGCTTCTTTTTGAGCCTATGTGTATGGGTTTTCATTTGCGTGGGAGTTTAGTTTTCTGTTGTCGGTTGTTGTTGTTGTTGGAGTTGCTTATGCCACTGCTAACAATTCATTCCCGCAGTAGATACTGTGACATACAATAGCTTAGAGCTTACAGCTGCCACTGCCACTGCTGCAGCCGCCGCTGTCACTGCCTGTTGTGGGCTGTTGTGGTCGTTGATTTCTTTTGATTTTTCAACCGTTGTTTTACGCTGCCTTGGCTTATTACCTAATCTCATTGTCTGCCAGCTAAACGTCATTGAGCATAGATATATATTGAAGTACGTACGAATTACGTAGGCAATGTGTAATAATTTGATGAACACATTTACATGAGTCTTTAAATCCCACTAAGGATGTGTCAATTAGCATTGTTAGTTCCCATTTCGAGTAGTTCCATTTCAATACAAACGGTGACTAATGCCGACCAGAGACCGAGCATTGCCTTTCATAATAACAGCAATTAATTTAATATTCGCTGGCCATTGTGCCTCGCCTTAACAGATTTGCAATCGAACTCCAAATCAAATGATCATTACTCATGCATAAATACTAATACTTCTGATCAAGCGATATGCGCTAGATACTCGTATGCTGAATAAAAGGTATAAAGCAAAAATAAGTTGCGTCAGCGGGAAATATGACAATTTGTCCTTTCTAAAAGACATATAAATTACCGCGGCGCATTATATAAGACAGAAAACAAACTGCGGACTTCATACAGATAAATTGGACCAACTGTGCGCTTATGGCTGCACACGCAGACAGACGGGCGTATACGCAATATTTTAGCAAAAACTACAACGTAGCAACGAAAACATGCGTCGGCGCACAGGCGTTTGAAATTTCATGCAGTTGTGCCATGAAATCCATACGCACAAAAATGCTCAATTACCCAAGTCAGGCGAGGCATTTTTTCGTTTTTTCTTTTTGCAATTGGCCAAAGCTAACGCATTGGATCTGGCCATAGACACAAGAGTTGGACGTGAGTCGTTATCGTGAGCGTGACTTATGAATTATGCTATGCATATGCCCTTGATCAACTGACCTTGCTAGATTACAATACAGCATAAGAATATTGTAGAGAATCGAGCTTTATGTGATTGTTGTCTTATTTTTGGAAGAAAATACAGCACACACACATTTCTAATCATCCACAAACTTGAATCCTTGGATAAACTGTTTTTTATTTAGCGAAACCATAGATAACTAATAATAATTAAAGAGATACCTAAAATTAATTAAATAAAATATTTATTACACGAACATCCTCAAATAAAATCCTATATGTTATGTATTTTTTCGATCTAATTAAAAAAAGTTATTTTACTTGTAAGTAGCAAACTCTGTGCTTAAATTAGATAAACAAGAATTAGTTTACATTTTTTTTACATATATTTATTTTTATTCTTCTTCTTGGTTTTATCAAATAAATAAATCCATGTCTTGTATTGATAACATATAAAATTTTTAAAAAATATATACTTTAGTGTACTGTGGTTTTCATTCGAATTTCAAGCAAAACTAATCCATAAAGAAATAATAATAAGTACAACATTTCAAGATTCCTGACAACTGTACATTATTATAAATGTGACATTAAAAAATATATATGCTTGCGCGTGAATATAACATAAAGCTTAGATGGCTCTCCCATCTCCAATATCGACATACCCACATGACAATTCGAAGCAATTGTAATTACGATTTGGCCATTGGGTGTGTAAAATGCAATTAATAAATTGCTCGCATAAACTATTTGTTGTAGAGACACTCAATTATTTGGCGAGTGGCACGTCGCATTTTGACTTTTCCTTTGTAGTCGAGTTTTATATTTTTTTATTTTTATAATGTAGCTATGGCTAAGCTAAAGACTTTCATTGGCTGTCATCAATTATTGATTTGGGTGCGTGTCTTACACACACAGACACACACACACACCACACACGACTGGCTATTGCACACCCATTATTGCAGAGCCACAGATTCGAGCAGCACGCAAGGTCGTTAAAAAATTGTGCGAGCGGTGTTGAGGGTTATAAAGTGTAACAAACGTGCTGGCTGGTGTTAAATTGTCCAACAAACTTGTGAAAATTGAGGATGCCAATGCAACTATAAAAGGAAAATGAAATTTGAGTATGAACACAATTTGTTAAAATCACTGCCACGCTATTTTGTGGCACCTTATTTACTTGCATAAAGTCAGCCAAACGTTAAGTGAAAAACAAAATCATAATAAACACGCAGCATTTAAAACTACGAACTGAAGAAATGCACGCACATTACCAAACTTTAATTTGTATAAGAGTGGAATGTATTTTTTATATTTGGGCTTTTTACGTTACTTTTTAATGACTTTAATTGCTTAAAGAGGCAGTTAGCTACTAGCGTGACTTTAATTAAATGTTACTGTAAAATAAACAATAACATTTAAGTTATTTATAACTATGTAGCACAGCTCGCATGTGGCTAAGTGAAAACAAAAGACTAGCAAATAAGCTCATGCGAAGTTTTTTGTTGAATTAAGTAAATAAACTAATGATGGACATTGACAACCTCAGTACTGGTGGATAAAACAACCCGAAATACATTAAAATTAGCTTTAATTCTTTCTGCCAACATACTCATTACGAGCAGTTAAAAAGTAAAATAGATGCGAATATTAAGATAGTATTTCGTACCTTCAACCTTCTAACTGGTACCAACAAATATTTTCATGGATAAATTTGCCTTTACCCATCCCTGAAACATAATTCAACCTATCCAAAAATCAAAAAGTCTACAATAAAAACCATTTCTTGATAGATTAGCAATTTTTCAAAATTTACTTTTTAAAATATTAACACGTAGGCTATATATTTCAACAGAAAAACAATCTTTACTATTTTACTTTTATTCTTTTACTCTTTTATTGCCAAAATTTATTTTTAATTTCTTAGAGTATTTCATTATAGGCCTCTGAAGTTTGGATATGATATCTAGCTAAGCCTTTTTTGATTTTTGCAAAAAACTAATGTTACCTTTTTAAACACGTTATAGTTTTTTTTATATATACTATCACTAACACTCGGCCGATTTTCGCTACATTTGATCGTACGTAACAAAATGTTCCAAATAATTATCGGTGCTGGTAGGTTCATTAGACAAGTTACAAGTTGCGAACATAATCCACATGCTGACATAACGCCATCAATACATGACGCACACCCAACATTTAAGGAAATCATCGCAAATATAGACAGTTGCTTACAGGCACTCAAGAAAAATCTGCAGAAAATCAACTGCCACAAGAAATATAACGAAGCCACTTTTAAAGTTGCCGTTGTAGTGGCAGTTGCAGTTGCAGTTGCCACCATCGTAGCCGTTGCACTTTTGATAGAGGAAAGCAAAGCCATCAACGCATCGTCTGCATGTGACGTAATTTCATGCGATAAAGTCAAGCCACATAGCTCCGACTGGACTACTCATACAAAGGCAACAAGTTGCCAACAAATTCTCTGTATATGGCAGACAGTTGGACTGAGGGACAGACAAACAGGCTGGCAGACATTCGGCCACTTTGTGGCATGCAACGCATGATTATGTGGAGCACTAGGAAACGTTCGCTCTGGCGCAACCCAATTTTTATCGCACACCTAGGCCGAATTTTTCAAACGAATTTATATAACTTGTTCAATCGATGTATGAATTTCTTTCATGGCTTGTGTCTTAAACTAATAATTGGGGGCATTTTTTTTCATTTCATTTTGTACAAAGTATATATATTCTTGATCAGTATGACACGACGAGTCGATAGAGCCCTGTTCATTTTCAGGTATATGTGAACGATCTTTCGTTAATCTTAAGAAGCTCAAGAGTTGGAATAACCAAACTTGGTATTCGTATTCCACTAAGCTCAAAGCTAATCAAGACTATGCTATTCCTTGATACACGTCCCTCTCTCTCGCTTTTTTTCATAACTCCCGTAGTTTTACGATTTGTTTTTAATTTGAAAAATTTAACCCATTAGTGCTTAAATGTCCTCATGTCGGGTTTTGTCGGCATAGAGTAATTGTGAAGGAACTTAGCCATTAATCTCGACTCAGCCAGCAACTGTTGCTGTTATTTTTGCCGCTTTGGCTCAATTCTGTACTGTAAATGTGTGATGTTAATGTGTGATACTTCTGATACTGTACTATAAGTATATATTCTAAATCTACATTAGCAGCCTAATTGATTTAGCCACTTCTGTCTGTCTGTCTCTTCAACAGTTAGATCTCAGGGATTGTAAGAGCTAGAGACACTAAATGTTGCACACAAACGCAATACAAACGTGTATTTCAACTACTTTCCTTCTAACGAATAAAGTCCACATTTCCAAACCTTTATTAACCTGGCATTTAAATTTATAATTAATAGTTTCATTTAATAAAATTAATAAATGTTGCACACAAACGCAACACAAACGTGTATTTCAACAACTTTCCTTCTAACGAATAAAGTCCACATTTCCAAACCTTTATTAACCTGGCATTTAAATTTATAATTAATAGTTTCATTTAATAAAATTAATATTTTTTAGAATTATATTGTCAGCCTTGCCTGAATGAGCATTCTATCTTGCTTTATCAAATCCATTTAATTTAAAACCAAAAGTAAATTAAGCATTTTTTGACCCGACTCTAGCATTCTATTCTTCTTTATATATGCTTTCTTTTTTATTCATCAAATGCTTCAATAATATTCCTGGATTTCCATTCCTTGCACTTGAACTTATTCATAAAAGTCTGAGGGAATCAAAGATGTATTATCTTGCCAAAAGATAAGATTTTCAAAATTATTTTTTTTTAAATTTTGTTGCTATATTTTTTATCACACCCAACATATTGAAATATGACATGATTTTGATTATTCTTTTGCTATTCGAAAGCTAGTGTTTCCCGAATGTTTCAATTTAGTCCAGTTCTGGCAATGGTATCCATAAGAAAACTACTTTAGACATACCTCATTTAGTCCAAATATAGTAGCTGAAAATTCTATTCCAAAACAGGATGCTGTTACTTGAAAATCATCCTCGTATAATAAGTTAAGTTCTTTAAATGACAAAAAAGCATTCATTGCATTAGACCTGAAGTCGGGGTTTATTTTGTTAAAATTTTACTTGTTATTTATATTTGACTATCTGCTTTGAATTAATTGCTTAGCCTGTGATGTGCTCAAGTAGAAAAATCGCAATTTTCGATTATTTCAGTTGAAAGTTGATAAGGAGGAGAAAAACCACATTCAAAAATTCTGGATTTGATTACAAATCATAATTATTGAAATTTTTGTAGTATCAATATAAAAAGAAGGAAATGTAAATGTGTGTTAAAAAATATTAAATATACATGCACTTACCACAAATTGATTTCAAATTATCTTTAAAATCGTAAACTTAATAAGTTTCATGAACGAAACCAAAGAATCAGATTTAAAGCTAATTTTTAATTTATTTCAAAATTAAAATTGATACGAGGTAGTCCGAATCGGTGGAAAAATATAATTATTTTGATAATGGTTCGGCTTAATAGTTTTGGAACTCGAAAATATTAAAAGATTATTAACTCAAAAGTACAGTAGAAGTGCAGAAGTAAGAAGTTGCAGCAACTGCCGCTGCTTGCAGCTAAAAGTTCAAAGGTGACCAGGAGATGGATGTACAGCCAACATAAAATTAACCGCAGACATGCTGACAAATTGGCTACTAGAAATACCACCGGATTGTTAGTATTGCTTAAATCTGATCAGGTCAAAGACAATAGACAATCGAATGCATGTCGCTTTGTCTGCTTGGAGGGGGCATGATCCTCAATCGATTAATTAGCGCTCAATTATGTCGATGGAGCCATCAGGCCGAGTGCCTGTGTCTGCCCAGAGTCGCCCGACGCTATTTCACTATACTTATAACGCAGCAGGCATTATCGGGTGGGCAGCTGCCAGGCACACTTGTTACACTTAACGAGACGTGAGATTGGCATGAAAGTAAAAGTTATTTATTTATTTATTTGTGTGCATGTTTTCGCTTTGGATTTGCTTTACTGTTGCCCACCGTTTCTTATTGCTGGCGACGTAATGACCTCAATCGCATGCAATGCGAGCTTCAAGTGGCACGTAACATTGGTTAATACGAGTGTAGCGCCGCTTGCAGTCAGGCTTTTAACGCTTTCCTATTGGCCACTGGCCAACAACTAAGCGTGTAATTCAAAAAGTAACGCGGACTTTTGTGCAGGTGACCTCCTTCGTTGCTTTCAAACTAGGTAAAGAAGATTATTCGTTTGAAATGCGACAGTTTTTACAAGTGCAGCGTCCCCGCAATAAGTTAACAGAGAAGAAAACAAAATATTGCATACATAAAAAAGTGTCAAAAGTAAATGTAAAAATGTGTTGTGTAGACACCTTTCATTTGTGATAATTGTGTTGGTCAATTGCTTTGATCATAGTTCGTCACAGTTTCCAAACAGAGTAAATCTTAGTCTGCAATGACAATGTAACCTATATACATATGCACTCGTACGTTTGAAGTCTAATAGTCTCCTCTTCTAGACGGAGCATACGATAAGTCCTATAATTATAAATGTATGTACATATATATTAATCTAATGTCCTAAGCTAGGTTGCATATATAGACTCTTTCGTATTCGTATGATGAATTCACCGTTTGATCTTAGAATGATAGGTTACAAATATTTCAAGATTCAAGTATGTTTTGAAAATAAATAGTTATACCATAGAGAAACTTTTTATTTACAAATATGATCCTACAATTGAGCTTTTGCAATTTTCGCCCTCACATTAATGTAGGGCATAAATATTCAATCATTTTTCTGTGCGTAAGCACTAGCTTTTAAATGGAAACCGCTGCGCAAGAATTAATATTCTAAATAATTGTTTACTACAAATATGTTTGAAAAATAAATAGTTATACTAAAAAGAAAATTTTAATTTACAAATCTAATTTGACGATTGAGCTATTGAAATTTTCGCCCTCATACATATCAATGTGGAGTATAAATATTCAACCATTTCTTGTGTGTAAGCATTGGCTTTTAAATTGAACCCGCTGCCGAAGAATTAATATTCTAAATTAATTTTTACTACAAGTATGTTTTAAAAATAAATAGTTTTACTATGGAAAAATTTTTTATTTGAAAATCTGATAATACGATTGAGTAATTGAAATTTTCACCCTCATATTAATGTAGGGCATAAATATTCAACCATTTTTCTGTATATAAGCATTGGCTTTAAATATTCTTAATTAATTTTTACCACAAGTATGTTTTAAAAATAAATAGTTATACTATGGAAAAATTTTGTATTTGAAAATATGATAATAAGATTGAGTAATTGAAATTTTCGCACTCATATTAATGTGGAGCATAAATATTCAACCATTTTTCTGTGTGTAAGCATTGGCTTTTAAATTGAACCCGCTGCGCAAGAATTAATATTCTAAATTAATTTTTACTACAAGTATGTTTTAAAAATAAATAGTTTTACTATGGAAAAATTTTTTATTTGAAAATCTGATAATAAGATTGAGTAATTGAAATTTTCACCCTCATATTAATGTAGGGCATAAATATTCAACCATTTTTCTGTGCGTAAGCATTAGCTTTTAAATGGAAACGGCTGCGCAAGAATTAATATTCTAAATAATTGTTTACTACAAATATGTTTGAAAAATAAATAGTTATACTAAAGAGAAAATTTTAATTTACAAATCTAATTTGACGATTGAGCTATTGAAATTTTCGCCCTCATACATATTAATGTGGAGCATAAATATTCAACCATTTTTCTGTGTGTAAGCATTGGCTTTTAAATTGAACCCGCTGCGCAAGAATTAATATTCTAAATTAATTTTTACTACAAGTATGTTTTAAAAATAAATAGTTTTACTATGGAAAAATTTTTTATTTGAAAATCTGATAATAAGATTGAGTAATTGAAATTTTCACCCTCATATTAATGTAGGGCATAAATATTCAACCATTTTTCTGTGTGTAAGCATTGGCTTTTAAATTGAACCCGCTGCGCAACAATAAACGCAAAGAGTAGCATCTTCATTTTAGCTATTTGACTTCTACAGAGACCAGCGGTGAGCCAGCAACTCGACGCGCATATGCGCCTGCTTGTTACCTTATAACAAGTTTCTGGCTGGTCCGTGAGACTCTTGCATAACTTGTCGCTGGGCTTCGGCCCCGCTTACCGCTTCTAGCTTGCTATTATTTGGGGGCTTCTTCACCGGTAGCCTGCAAAAGTTTGCTAACAAATTGCCAGTGTGTATTTTTTCGGTCTACTTGTATTGTCTTGAATTTTAAGCGATTTCAAGCCACATTTTCCCATATCTTGTGATTTCATTCGATTACACATCATTCTAATATTCATTCCTTTCAGAAAACGTCTTATTCTACTAGTCCTTGCGGCCAGCCTATGCGCCTGCGCACATGGAGCCGCTACTCTCAGCACCCAGGCGCCCGCCACAACAGCCAAACCTAGTGGGTTTTCTGCTCGCTCTCTCGATGTGAGCGCCGCCGCTGATGAGGAGGAAGCAGATGATTTCGAGACGCAAGCGCAGACGCACTTGGCCTACAGACAACAGCAGCGTCCGCTGTACGAATACAGTGAAGAAGATCAGGAAGAAGCCCCACGGCAAGTCTACATCAATCGCAATGCCAAGCAGCAGAACAATTACCTCAAGGCCAATCAAAAGAAACCACTGAGCGAGGAGAGCGAGGAGGAAGAAGAGGTAGAGGAGGAGCCAGATCGTTTATCTACGCTGCTTAGCAAGTCCACGTTTAGCTGCAATGACAAAAACTCTGGGTATGTACCTAAAAAGGTTTTAAAAACATTATCATTGAATAAATATTTCGTCCTTGTAGCTACTATGCCGATGAGTCGCTTAGCTGCGAGGTTTTCCACTATTGTCAGGACAATCAGCGTCATTCTTGGATCTGTCCCGAAGGCTTCACATTCCATCAGATACACTTAATCTGCATGCCACCATCACATGATAATATCTGCAAGCAGTCCTCAAAATATCATATCGTTAACGACTATCTGTACAAGCCAATCAATCTGCAGGAGCATCAGAGCAAGCCAAATGTAACGTTGCGCTATTCGGAGCGATATTATCCCGAGAACTATTATGAACATGAGCGATACGATGATGAGGAGGAAGAGCTGCCGCAACCAGCACCTCGTCCGCGCGTACAGCATCAGCAACAACAACAGCAGCCACAGCACCACCGACAAGTAGCCTACCATCAACCCCAGCCCCAGCCTCAGCAACAACAGCACCAGCCACAGCCACAACTCCAAATACAACACGCACCTCAGGTTCGTGTCCAATACCAGCAACAGCAGCAGCCACAACAGCAGCCTGCCACACAGATACGTCATCAGCCGACTATTTTGCAGCATCAGCATGTGCCGCAGCCGACAACCCTGGCTTATCGCAAGCCATTACCCACCACGACTCTACAACCGCAACTGCATCAGTTGCAGCCACAATTGCACCAGCAGCGCCTTCAGACATTGGCACCCACAGTTACGCCTACGCCCTACCGTTTCTTCACGGCCGCGCCGGCGTTGCAGCACCTGCAGCAGCATCAACAACAAGTTTACCGTACTCCAGAGGAGATAAACATATCATTGCAGCAAAGACGCCCACAAGTTTTCATTGCCACATCAACGCCGCGCTATTATGAGGATGAGTACCTGTACGAGAGAAGGAAGTAATCGAATTTACATACGCATGTACATATGTATTTTATATGTACATGAAACCGCAAAACACAACCAGTCTTGTCGTTCTTCTTGTATATTTTTCTCCCGTACGACATGTAGCGGGTAAATTTTCGTAGCTTTAAGTTGCGCTCTGTTTGCTTTGTATCTTCATTTCTGTCATTGCAGAATTTTACACATGTAGTCCCAAATTTAGCGCGAGTTTTGTGTACCTATTTTAATTCTGTGTATTAATATTTAATATCTTGCTAGAAGAATCCTCCTTCTAATGTTTTCCTTAATAAAGAAACAAGATTTAAGTTAAATTCACTGAATGTCAATCTCCATGTACTCATCCGCATTGGACAGATGCACAGACTGATTTTTACTGTCTTCCTCGACTACATAATTGGGGCCAATGAGGCAGTTCTTGAGCACCGACCCGCTCTTGACATGGGCTTTGTGTCCAACTATGCAGTTGTCGATGTTGCAGCCTTCCTCCACAATGGAATTGGACATAAGAATCGAATTACTCACAATGTTCTTCGGATTAACAACACAATTAGGACCGAAAACACTATAATTCAAGGATGTCTTTTCCGACAATTTGGCGTTGTCGGCCACAATTATTTCCTTTGTTTGGGTCGACTTAACAGTGGCTCCTAGCGCAATCAGTGGATAAGATTCACCACACAGGTCATTCCAGATGCTGGCCAATTTTCGATTTAGGGCGCAGAAACTCAGGGTGCTGTTCACGCGCACACCTATTGCCTCCCTAGGTGCTTGTATGGCATAGCAACGCACTGCGTCACCATGGTAAGGTACATGCGAGAGAGAGTCGTTAAATAGCGAGGTTTGCGTGATTTTTTGATTCAAGGCAGTCGTTGGCACATACTAAAATGAAAATGGTCAGATATACCTCATGCATATATGTATGTATAGAACTAAAACTGCTCACATGTAAAATATTGTCACCGGGCTTGGTATTGACACCCAACTCTGATGTGGTATCCTGCTGCAATTTGGCCGAACGCTTCACATGCTGTTTTTTAATCAAATGTGGTAAAAACTCGCCCTTAAAGGTTGAAATGTTTTCCTTCTGCAATCGAAATTAATGTAATACAAGTGGAGGGCTCCTGAAAATTTACAAACCGTATGCAGATAGTTAATAACCCATTTCTTCAGCACATATATGTGAGCATCCAAGAGCCGACCATATACATTTAACTGACCCCTGTCCTTAAGTAAGTGCCGCTGAATGTTCAGAGTGTCCTCACAGTCGCTAGCCGCCAAAAGGAAAGCCAGCCGTTGTGTATCCGGATGTATACCAATTATATCGCGTTCCGGTTTGTGCTTATTTTTTGGACCGGGAAGCACTACGTCAGACTCAAAGCCACTTTTAAAAAGAAGCAGCGCAAGTGCAGCATCGTGCTCCCGAAACTTATTAATAAGTGGATACAAACTGACATTGCTGACTATGTCACAGCTCACCACCAGAAAATCGGACTTAATTCTATATAAGAACAAACTTTGGAGTACAATGAAGTCCATGGGTATGCATATAATCAGTATACCTATCGTATATATAACGCAAGCTGTCGGCTGTGCCAAAATCACTGTCGTAAGGTATTGTGGCATAGTCGACTTTTATTTTGATGGGTGTGCGCTCAAGCGCCTGTTGAATTTCAACCTTTTGGTGCTCCAGCACAACGACAATGGCCTCTATAACAAATAATTGGAATTAGCAGCGTTCAAAAGCAGCTCTGCCATTCAATTACCTGAAAAATTGTGTCGTTGCAACATGGTGAGCGGGTACCACAGCAAAGGATGTGGCCCAATGGGTAACAAACACTTAGGCGCATCACCTAACACTTCGGGCAAACGGGAGCCGCGACCCGCTGCCAAGACCACTGCTTGAAATTCCGTACTCGTCATAATAATTAAATTCTTTATTTAATGGATAAACTACAGCGTGCGAGTCTCGGCAAGTTGCTGACAAAGCAGCTACCTAGCGTTTACCAACACTTAACCTCGTCGACCATATGTTTCTGTCATGTGACTGCAATACTTTTGCACTTGCATTGTTTTTGCTTTTGTATAAAGTCAGATGACACTTTTTCATGGCGATTCCTTTATTTTTAAGTACATTTCAGAGAAGATACAATAAAATTACACGCTTATGGAACAACAAAACTTTAATGCATACTTTGCGCGCTTGCAATCAAACCCAGTTATGGGCATTGTACACTACAAAATGGAATACATACACATTTTCTTATTGGAATTATTCTACATACTTTTTCTTACAATCAATACCAAAAATTGGTTGTTTTTAGCGGGTTAAATGGAAACAAAACAATAGTTTAACAATAATATTGCTGGAATATTCACATACATATATCGGTTAATACTTTAGAAGAGCACATCGTCGTCGCCCTCGTCGAGTATGTTGGTTTGGTCGCGTACATCGATACCCCGCTGCAACAGCTCCGCTTTCTTGGCATCTGCCTTGGCACGGGCTTCTCGCTTCTTGTCCTGAATTTTCTTCAAACGATAGAACTCCTCGCGCTCTAACTCGTCCAGCTCGGAGATGATGTATGCCAGGGTCCGATCGATGCGCGGAATAATTACGTGCTCGATTGCGTTTACACGACGGTTGGTGATCTTGATCACTTCATCCAGAGTGACGAACGAAGTCTGCAGTGAAGCCAGTTCAACCAGCAGTTTTACAGCACTCTGATAGTTTTTCTTCAATTTGGCCAATTGCTGACCACCACGGGCAAGACCAGCGAGTTCGTAGGTATCGGCACCGTCCTGGTACGATTCGAAAACGGGCAAAGTTACACCAGCAACGTTGTCCTTCTTGGTGCGTATCTTTATTTGCGCCTTGGTGACATTCTGCAGTACGACCTGGTTAATGTCACCTGACGTAAATTTGGCCTCAGCAAGCGAGAAAGCGGCCTCTTTCATAACGTCGCCCATCAAAGTTTTGGTCTCAATGATTTTGCCCAGAATCATGCGAAAACGCATTTGTAAGGCATCAGCCTTCTTCTTCAGTAAACCATGGCCTTTCTGTGCGCCCGCTAAACGCGATTTCATCAACATTTGAGCACCACGCGAGGGGAAAATCGGTAATCTATCTTTGCCAGACATTTTTCTTCTATTTATGAATGTTAAATTCAGCTAATTACTCGATTTTCTACTGCGCACCACAAAAAAGACACCCGTCGAAGTACTAACTGGGATCGAATGAAAACTCCAACTGGACTGAGTGAGCAGCAGTGCTTATAACGCTTAAAAGTTCAGTGTATAACAACGTTTATAGATTTGCTCGTTATTTGGTGCTGAAAAACAGCACATGCACTGCCAACAGCTGACTGTCACTGTTGTCGTTAAAAAGTAAACAAAATAATTCGCTGCATTCTTGAGCATGTTTATTTTACAGCGCGTTTGCTGGTTACCACATGTGCAGCGCTATTTGCGGCACTACGCAAAGAAATCTAAATTACCCGTCATGGCTAGCAACAAACGTATGGTGCACCAGGAAATGCTGCGTTATGTAAATCCCTTTGCTCGCATTAATGTGGATTCGGAGATCTTTCTTCAGGTTCAACCAGCAGACGTGCACCAATACACCAGCGGCGATGTATTTATAGCACAGCTTTTTGGGGACGAAGTGAAGAACTGTACCGCTACTCTAGAGGTTGACATTACCGACAACGACAAAGTTGTAAATGTAGTAGTTAAAAAACTGCCGGGAAATTTGTCCCGATTCCACTGTGCCCTAAAAGTACCAATACGTGCAGAACTGTATATTAAAAGCGGTGCCAATGTACGTGTGGAGGGGATTCAGAGCGAAGCTTTGGAAATAAAATCATTTGGCAATATTAACACAAACAACGTTAAAGCTACAAAAGTAGTACTGTTCAGCGAAAATGGAAATGTGATTTGTAATGGAACGCTGCTGGGCAAGAGCACAGAAATTAAAACCAACAATGGTGTAAGATTTTAATAATTACTTATTAATATGATATATTTGTGTGCTTTATTAAATCTGCAGAATATCGTGCTGAATAAGGCACAAGGCGATAGCTTAAACTGTTCCACCAAGGATGGTGGTATTAACACGGATTGCTGTTATGTAGAAAATTCGAATTTTCAAACTGAAACGGGGCGGCTTGAATTAAAGAACGTTCACAAGTGCAGTGAAGTTCACGTGCACCGTGCAGGGGAGCTCAAAATGAGTGAGTTTACACACCCTAGCATATCAAAATTTAAATCTTACATTTTGTTTACATTTAGCTGGAGTGCATGGCAATCTCAAAATAATTGCAAAAGGTGGTAGCATGAACTTACAGCTCTCCGAAGTGGTCGGCAGGAGCCAAATCGTCGCTCAGGACTTGGACAATGAGGCCGTTATCAATATATCCGAAAGTATTGAACAGAACACCAAAGTAGAGGTAAATGCATGCGTTGTGAACCTGGACGATAGCTTGGACCACGTAGCGCATGCATTGAGTGAAGATAAATCTACATTTCTACTAAATAACGTGAACACAGAGCATGCTCATTTGCTGATTAACAGTACTGGCGATAAAGGAGTACGCATCGGCAAGCAATCCTGGGCGGATATTTTGCGTCAAAAAATTAAAGTAACCGACTAATAAATATATTACGGATAAATACTTTTTATAATTATAATCATTAGCAATATCATTTCGGTGATTCAGTCGTTTTGTCAAACAAGCTTTTCATACGTGTATACGCATTTTTAAAAACGGCATCTTGTTCAGAATTCAGTGCCCCAAGAAACAATTGCGCCTTTTGTTCGTTAACTTCAATATTTTCGCCTTCTTTAATCTTGAGTAGCATGTTGGCCAACAATCGAAGAAGCTTTGAAGCACTGTCCACATAATGATCAACCGGGTCATCCTCAACTGCTTCAAAATCGTTCTCAACTGATTCACTGTACTTTTCAATGTGTAGTTTCATTTGCAACCAGACATTAAGTAAATTGAGAAATGTGTCCTTATCATAAAAATACTGAAGACACTGCAATGGAAATTCATTATATTTAAAAAGTAATTGGCAAGTATACAAAGCTTACATTGCAAATATGTGTGAGATCTTCCAGATATTCCTGACGTTCTCCCAACGGAGTTAATTGCATTGGCTGTTGCAAAAATTTTAATATGCATGTCAGGCAGCTCATTACCTTTAAAACGTACGAATCCACAGCCAAAACTTCAGGAAGTTGTACTAAAATTGTGGTTATGTTTAGATACGTTTCTATTACTATCGTATCACGTGTCGACTCATAGCCCACGTCGGCGTCGTGATCCGTATCATCGTCGATTTCCTTAATACTCCTGCCATTAACATTTTCCTCCGCTTGCTTTGCCGGATCGCCTTGCATCAATCGAAGAAAGGCATTATTAACGCCATCACACAGTTCCTGAACGAGAAACACTTCTGCAAATGGCTTCAATTTGGCGCCGGAGTCTATGTTTTCCTCCTCTACTAACGCACATGTGGCTAGGACTGCATTGACGGCCTTTAGAGCATCTCTAAGCAGCTCAACACTCACTGACTGTTGCAGTATGAACCCAAAGTTTTTAGCAGAACTATCGAAGGCGGCTAGGCAATTGTACCAGTCGATTCCTAGCTGTTCCTTGCCTGTCTTCACATGTGACATTATTAGATGATATAAGTGCATCAATTGTATTAACATGCACCTGTCCATGCAAGTGTTTAGTTTCAGAAGCGTCTCAATCCAGTCGGGATGGGCCGTCAAATGCACCACACACTCAACCTGCATACACATATTGCCCAACAAACCGACTAGTATCTCGTAGAGGCGCACATCCTCACTACCTTCAATGACGTACATGAACAATTCGATGGCATCGTTTTCAAGCAGCAGCGAGACAACCTCTGTCGACACAGACATGTCCCACACTTTACATAAATCGTCTTCCAGTTCCTGACCTAAAGAACCTTCCAGCTGGCTGAGCTTCACCAGTGTTTGCAGTATAAATTTCCGACTGTACATTGTGTCACCAACAGCATCGCCGCGCATACGTTCCAACAGCTGATCTTCATCCACGTCACCCTCCTTATCGTTTGGGGAACTACCAACCACCGGATCTGGGATCCTATTTGGTGCGGCCGAAACTATATCATCTGTCGCATGAGCGGTTGTCTCTGTTTCTGAAATTTCTGCGCCATCGGAGATTTGTTGACCTTCACTGTTGGTGGACATGGACCTGCTATTACTTTAAACTTGGGAAGCCCTCAACAGAACCAGCTAAGTAACTCGACACTATTAGCTTTTTAAGTCCAGCAGCAAATCAAAGAGCTTGGTTTATTGGACCGTCGTCGTTATTCAACACTCGTTTAATAATATTGTAGGTGCAATAGCATATTAATCGTCGATAGCAATGTATCGATAGGTTTCCTGACAATGACTATATCCGCTCTATTTTAGTGTTTCCCCCTGTTAGTAAGGTTCTTCACAGAGCTTGGTTTTGGTGTACAACTTTTATTTATTATTACAATGTTTCATTTATTTTCCCAAAATATAACCTTGTATTGTTTCTATGTCAACTGTTTTGTAAATATGCAGGATGCATTTGTTGCTATAATTCTATATGTTTGCGTACATTAACAACTTTATTAAATTTATTGTTTTAACATTGTTAACCTACAATGCTCATATTGTTGTAATTTTTGTAAATAGTGCTGTTGCCTTTAACACTTAAATAGTGATATTTGTGATTTAACAAAATATTTATAGTCACATTCGAAATCCTTGAGTATCGATTGCATGATAAATAAATAAATAGATTTTCATTAATTTTCAAAGGTTTATGCTAATTAGATATCGAAATCATTTAACATTTTTGCGTTCGAGTATGTATGTATGTATAAATTTAAAACAACAATTTACGATTTTATATAATTTTCGCATTGTGTGCGACAAACACTGTGAAGCAGTTTTACTACAATTGCCAACAATTGCACTCTTTAATTTATATGTATATTAAGATACATTCATACATACATTTGCTTGTATGTATACGAGTTTTTTTTTTTTTAAATTTTGAAATACTAAAATAAAAAAAGAACTAAAATAAATATACATATAGGCGTGAAATTAAAAATAAACGCATAAATAATATATGTATGTATATATGTGTAGATGAGTAATACACTATTTGACATGGATATCAGTAACTCTTATGTATTTTAAGACACGCGTTTTCCGGTAACATTATTGATATCTTACAATTGCTGCATGGGGTTTGTGATTTACTTGTCCTGAGCTGAAAACAACTATCGTACAAAATGTCGCGACGCGAATATTGCAGTAGCTGATTGCGAATGAAATTATTAAATACATCAATTAAATAAAATAAAAACATAATAGTGCGAAACTCAAAACAACATTGAGATTAATTCCGCGCATAGTTGCGTCCGAGCAGCTACAGTGGGTATGATATATGGTTAACGCTTCTGGTGGCAATTCAAGCAACAGCATCGGTATCGCATTCCTCCTCGACAGTAATGTACATACCCTCCTCCTCATAGGCAGAGTCGTGCTTGGCCAAAATTCTCAGCAGTGGACGCAGACGCAACCACCACTGCTTTTTGGGTATACGTTGGCTATAAATTGAAAGAATGATATATACAATTAAGAAATTTTAGGTAACCAGCTCAGAAACTCACTCGAAGTTTGTCTCGCCAATCAAATCAACAAGAGGCGTGAACCGGTATTGACGGGACACAATACCGAGTAATGTGGCAGTGTCAGGCGATTTGCAGTTGATCACACCATTGCCATCGATATTGCCCTTGATCTGAGTCGCCAGCCAGTCGACGCACTTGGCCGCCATCTTGGTGCCCATGTTGCGATCGAAGGGCGTAGGTGAGCCTCCCTGTTGCATATGACCCAGGATGTTCATGCGGCAGGTGAAAAGTCCCTTGCCCTCCTCCGAGTATAGACGATAGATAAAGTCGGTGGAATAGTTCTCGCTGGCTTTTTCATTGCGCAGAATCAAGCCGCGCGCGACACCTTCAGCCATTTTAGAGGCCATGTGGTAGACATCCTGCTGCAAATCTTTGATAGAGAACTTCTCTTCGTAAATGTAGGCAGCATCAGCACCACCAGCCAGACCGGCCAAGGTAGCCAAATAACCACAATAGCCACCCATGGTCTCAATAACAAACACTCGACGCTTGGTACCCTGAGCTGATTGACGAATGCGATCGCAAATCTCGGTAATTTCATTCAAGCCTGTGTCACAACCAAGCGAGAACTCTGTGCCGGGCACATTGTTTGAGATGGTCGATGGAATGACAACAATTGGTATACAGAACTCTGGGTAGTTATCGCGCTGATCTGAGATCTGACCAGCGGCATGATAACTCTCAAAACCTCCAATAATCAATAGACCCTGGATCTTGAATTCCTTAAGACGCGCGGCAATCTCCTTGAACTTGCCCTCAGGCAGTGTTCGCTTCGTGCCTAAATAGGCGCCACCCTGGCCAACCCAACCAGACACGTCAGACCTACGGCACAAAATTAAATATTTTACACGCACTATATAGGGCATTGAGATGTACACTCACCAATTCAGTTCGCGCACATTGCCTGCAATAAGGCCCTCGACGCCATCATGGACACCATAAACAACGTCGCCGCGATAGATCGCATTGCGGACAAAGCTGCGTACGGCAGCGTTCATACCACAAGCGGGAGCACCAATATGCATCACAGCCAACCTGTATCCCTCAATGCCCTTTCCATCGACGCCCAATGACTCCTTAGGGGGCTTCAAGCGCGTTAACATCTTGTAGGTCTCCAGATTGCGCTCGAACGAACGACCACGCAATTTCACAGCATCTGCCCAGCGGCGCTCCGCCATGGCCTTGGCCACGGCCTGAGTACGCTCTACGCACTCCATAAGTGGAACACGCACGGCCTGGTTTCCATCTAGAGAAATGACCACAGGCACCGATTCTTCGGTGGCCTCCATCAGGGCCAAAGTGGCCTCGGCACCCATGCGGCAGGCCTAAAGAGGAGCTTGTGGTGAGAGATGATTAGCACGAGAACCTTGGCTTGGCTTACCAAAATGCGATCGAATGCACTCGGATTACCACCACGCTGCACGTGGCCAAGAACAGTGATGCGGGCATCGTGCTTGAGGCGATCGTCTATGACCTTCTTAACATGCTCTGCGGTAATGGGATTACCCTCGCGATCCATTGCGCCTTCTGCCACAATGACGATATTCAAACGTTGGCCAGCCGAACGCTCCTGTGAATTGAGGATGTGGGAAAAATTAGATCTAAACACTTTTACGTGGTACGATATTTGATAAGTTCTCTTTTCGGATTAATTCCTCTTAATACAGTCAGACATATTTTCTAACTGACATCAAAATGTATTCTAAAATCGTTAATTTTGCATTTTACATATTTTCGTTTCCTTAAAAAGAACTTATCAATCAAGTTTGTAGATGAAATTCGTTGATTTTGAATGAAGCTGAGCGAAAACCATACCAACGGGAACTGAAGCAATGTTGAAATGAAGAAGTAAATATTGGAAATATTTATTGGTTACAAAAAACTACAAAAACACGCATTTAAATGAAAAGCAGTAGTGTGTGTGTGTATTGTGAGCGTATATAAGTATGTATGTATGTATGTATGTACAAATGAACTAAACAACTGTATGAATAAGGTCTGAAGTGAGGATAAATTTGATATGAAAATGTACACAATTTTAGTTTTTAGACAAGCATACACCAAAAGATCAATAAATAACGTACAGCTGCAGGGTGAAAAATGAAAACAATATTAGGATACGAGTATAACTTTTCTACAGAATAAACACATGTTCATGATTTGAGGAAATTACAAGTATAAATTCGAGAAATAATGAAAAACATTTTAAAGCCAGCAGTATTTCAAGGACTAAGAAAACTTAAAAATAAACACGAATTCTGGAACTACACTTGAAACCATTTAAGGCAATTAATAGTCAATTAATTGGTTGTATATGCCAAAATGTGGTTTCTGGGAGTGTATGAAAAGTAAAATTGCCTCTAATCGTTGGGCTATAGTGGCCACTTGTTAGTAAATTGTTAGTAAACGAATACGGTCAACGAATAAAAACCAAGCACCATATTCCGACCGCTCAGCCTTTATCTTGCTGACCTGAGTTAATTTTTGGCATATTAATTCCTGCCAGTTTAGTGGTACGGGCTCTTCGGGTATAAACAAATAATCTGCCTCAGTGGCTATGGCAGCTGAAATGGCCAAATAGCTAAAATATGAAAAAAGAAACATAACAAAAAATATGCACATGTCATGAATATGAATTGATTAATAAGTATTATTCACAAAACGCTGGGAGAGGAATCGGCACACGGGAGTGCAGGAAGGAATGCACACTTAGGGTGCAGCTTAAATTAAAAATTGATGAGTCCCTACACAGTTAAGCTTTGGACATCCAGAATTCTCACGCAGATGATAAGAGGAAACATGCGTGCAAAATTACAGTTTGTGCAGCATGGGCATAGGTTCAAACTTTCGATGGCGGAGAGAAAATTCAATGAAAACCAATCAATTCAACGCAAGTGTTGCTTCATTTAAAAGCAAAAAGATGGCACATGATATAGTATAGTATGTATGTAGAAAATTATTAACAAAAGTAAACTAATAGTGTATGTATAAATAAAGCGGTACAGTTTCTGTTCGCTGGTATCACTATCCTTATACTTGATCTCAGCAGGTACGACTTTAGTTTATCCAATTACTGAGGTAGTCCGATGTGCTTCTCAAGATAATTGCTACATCAATGGATGTATTTTAATTTGCAATTTTAAAAAATATTTGGATCCTTGTATAAAAATAGCCTAAGCTTTGATGTGTGAGTGTGTGTATTCATGTATTTTTTTTGTAATGTATATTGATCAGATTGTTGTATAAAGCAAAAGCAACAACTGTTTTTATCTTCTAAATGTGGACGCTGTTTTTTTAATAAAATGAAGGAAAGATCGCCGCTTGCCTGAGCCAACTGCACGCATAGCCTGTCTGGCCAATCAGTTTTTGGTGGCATTTCAGGTATAAATATGAAATCGGCTTCGCTAGCCAAGCCTCCCACAAGCGCCAAATAGCTGTAAAAACACATTATAACAGAATATAAACATTAGGAATAACATTCAAGTTGGGCTGACTGAGGGCACAAGAGAGAGTGTAAAAGGGACCAGAAACAAAGGACCTATGTAAATAAATAACGAAGGCGTGCTTTAGACACAAGGCGGCACAACGAAACAATTTCGATCAACACACATGAGATGCATGAGAAACATCCGACGATCTTGCGCGTTAATCCATGCTTGCCTGTTCCAGTTTCAGCACAAGTTTGCCAGGCCAATCGTTCGGCGGTGGATACTCGGGCAAAAATACATAATCTGCCTCGGATATAATGCCAGCTACAACAGGTAAATAACTGAAGGTATTGAAGGTATTTAACATTACCAAATCGAAAGCAAATAGAGCGGCCCACCCACAGCTATGGGACCATATACTACCATCAAAAAAACACCAATTAGGCCTCTTACCCGCAATGCCGACCCATAACCTCCATAATAAAGGTGCGCTGATGCGAATAGGCCGTGCTGGAAATGGCATCAATAGCTTCAATAATGCGATGCAAAGCCGAATCCGTTCCAATGGTCATGTCCGTTCCGCAGAAATCATTGTCAATAGAGCCAACCTATAAATGTAGTACACCGTAGTCCAGTTTTATACAAAAACAAAAAAAAAAATAGCACAACCGCCACTGACATACCAAGCCAACAATGTGCAGAACATCAAACTTCTTCCGCTGCTCTTCAGTAATCGTTCCATCCTTTAGCAGCTCCTCTAGCAAGCTAGACCACTCCTGACGAAACAAATTGGCACCGGTAAGGGAACCATCGCCGCCAATTACTACCAGATTGGTAATGCCACGCTGGATCAAATTATTGGCGGCCTTCAAGCGGCCTGCACGCTCCCTGAAGTCCTTGCAACGAGCGGATCCAATGATGGTGCCACCACGGTGAATGATAGATGAGACTGATGCCCAGTTGGCCTCTTGTATATATTCGCCTCCATCAACCATGCCCTGATAACCTTCGCGAATAAAGTAAGCCTGCAAGTTTTATAGATCAAGCATTATTATTTTAAAATGTATATATACTTGTAGAAGCCGATAGGCCCCCGTTTTTAAAGCAAATTCAATTTTTAGTAAATCGGTGGATTAGCAGTAATAACTTTTACAAATAAAATAAAAAATGCAATTTTTTAACAGAAGAGTTGTCTGGTCGAGAGACTAAGTTGTTGTTAATTAATTTTTTAATTTTATATTTTGAAAAATAATCTCGCAATTCATATATTATAACATTAATGATATTTCAATAGGATACATAATTCTAGACATTTTTAAAAACTCTTGTATTTCGCAGTTCATATTACGTACGTGGAAGAATAATAAAGAGAGAGAGAATTGAGAATATTTTTCAATTTAAGAATTCAGAGAATAACGACTGTAACTCGTTCAGTTAAATTAAATATTATGCAAATTGAAATTTTTCACAGCAAGAAAAGACAGAGCAAAAAAATCTACATTGTATGTACATATGTATATGTACATAGTAGTTTGCTATGTATGTACATGAACTTTATATCTACATATATATTAATATGTACAAAGTTTTATTACTGTAGCTATTTTTGTTGCTTTATTGATTGAAAGCAATGAAACTAATTTTTGACGACAGTCAACCGGTGTATTTTGTTATTTCTGCTTTTCTATCAGCGCTACCAATTAAGTACATTCAATACTAATAGTGTTTTGATTACGATAACGCACGAAGTAGGTAGTAGTACGACCAAAAATATATTTCTAAAGAACTGGTACTTCACAAGGCACATACAATGTAAAGATACTTGTTTTCGCCCTGACCTAGGAGTTTGATTGCAAGAACAGCATTTTTGGTTGTAATTTGTCTATAATCATGATGAAATGCATTTTACCCCTTTTTTTAAGTGAATTTATGCAATGTGAGATGCACATCAAAACAACAGCAAGGCCGAACATAAACAAATTAAATCAAATAACAAAACTAAATATAATATTGTAAGCAAACAAACGCACATTGCCAGCCGGACTGACAGTCTGGATATATGACTCTTTCCCGATAATTTCTCCAGTAAGAAATTCATTAAATATTTCAATGGGTAAAAGTAACTAAAACTAAATAGAAGACAATTAAAAATTTCATTTAAAAAAATTAATTTCAAATTTCAATTCAGAAAAATGTCTTTTATTGAGGTAGTCACTGTAACATGTAATGCGATGAAAGATTGGAATTACAAAAAGCCAAGAAATAAATATCTAAACATTGTTCATTTAAGGTTAAAATATAATCCTGATATTGTACACAAATTGTTAAAATGGACGGATGGCAGGATAAAATAATCCAAAATACTACACAAAAAATATATCGCAATAGAAATGTTCGAAGTATTTACAATTTACACCCCCGTTATGTTTACATGTAAAGGAAAGCACGGACAGCATGCGAAAAGTGAAAAAAATACGAGTCTCAACCGAAATAAACTCAATGCCAATTCGCACACATACATACATATGTATTTAGTATATACACAAAAGTGCTGAAATTGTATTTGAATTTTTCGGATCGGCAAATAGGTTATCTAACGGCCACTTATTTGAAAGGCATGCTAATTGAGCGCAATTAGATGTGTTATTAAATGTCTTCAAGTGTCTTTCAAAAGAAACCAAACGAGAGGGCAAGTTACTGATATGAACGCAGAACTTGGGCCTACTCAGAATTCAATATGCGAGCTACTGACCGATAAGCTGAGAACGCCAATATGCAGTCTTAACAATATACAAATATATGTATGCAAATATGTATGTACAACCATACATATGTACATTCATATAGGCACACTTGATATGTCTTTGTATTAGTATGGGAAAGCACTTGATAGAGGTCAAAACTTACCTTGCAGCCTAAGTAGATGGCCATACGAACGCAGGCACGCACAGCGGCGTTCATTCCCTGCGAGTCGCCACCGCTGGTGAAGACGGCCAAGCCCTTGTCCCTCTGGGAGCCACGGGCCAGAAAACGTTGATTATTATCGGTATTCATTGTTATAATGTGCGATACGTTAGAAGATAAATTCAAAAATCAACCGACAGAAACACACACAACAATAGCTAGGCAGTATATTTTTTACTACAGCGAGCAACGAACGTTTCTTTTGCAATCGCAACGACTATAGTGACCGAAGGCGTTGAAGTCAAAGAAATTACTGAGACTGTCTTTAAATTGCAGCACAACGCACGCTGGAGTGTCCGGACTCCAAAAAGATCTATCTGGTTGTAATTTTCAAAAGAATTTGCGAAATTTTATGCTGTCTGTTGCTGCTGTGGTCGCGGCTGCGAGACGAGTGTGGGCCAGACGTGTGAGAGCGGGAGCGACGCGTACAACAGTTTTGACGTTTCAAGGTGACCTTCCGATTGGCTGCAAACGCTTTTAGTCTAAGCGCCGCTGATGCAATGGGCGATGCTTTTGCCTTTTAAACACCGAACACGGACTTAAATCACAATACGGCACTTTTATCTGCACTTGAGATAAATAAATATATATTTTTTCATTAATGAAACATTTGAAATTGAATGGCCTAGCGAATTTTGATAAAACTTTTGTGCTATGCGCGAAAACTGGTTGATTACCGTAGGGTGTATCGTACTCTTTTGTTTACCCCACACGCGCATTTGTCATTCGCCTAACAGCTGTTGAACATATGTTCGTCTCCAAAGCTCTCATAAGCTTTATTCTGCATGTGCAGTCCAAGCTTTTTTGTGTGCGTATTACCGTTGGTATTTTTAAATTTGGTTTTGTTATCACTTACAAATGGCCGGCGATGAGCACGCACGTAGTCAATGATGTTTTGATAACTATGAATACACTTTTGCAATTCTTTCATTTCCCTATCACGTTTCTCACATATTTCCTCCCAACATTTTCTATAGGCATCATCATCGCTTTCTTCGCAGTCATCATGGTCTTTATGCGTAAACTGTTAAATAAAGAATACCGTTAATTTGCGACCTAATGCACAATTCGTTCACAAATTACCCTTCCTTGAGCCTTCCTAATAAAATCATTTTCCAGCTCTTTTAAAATTCGAGCCCTGGAGATAGGTTCGAGCTGTCTCACGCCAGAAAATATGCGGCGGTTTGACTGCATTTGCGTCTTCTTCTGGACAGCATTACCTGCTACGCCCACCTGTAGTGGTCGATTATCGCATTCCTGAGTAACATCACACCTTTCATCTACATTCTTCTTTTTGCCATAAACACGCTCCCGTAAAATGTTCAATGCGTCGTGCAAGTTTAGTTGCTTCCCGCTCTCATACTGCTGAGCATGCTGATAGCTGCAAGAATGTTTTTATTTGAAAATTGTTTGTGTGCCACCGTTAGAATTTTCTTACTAATTGTAAAGGGCTCCTGGCATATTTTTGCTTGAAGTCAGGCGGTCGATATTGTCGAACATACCATTGACTGCACCGACTATGGACAATACTTCGCTAGTATGTTCGCATAGGTAGCGGTAATATAAACGCATGTTGTGATCCTGCAGTGCCAATAAAAATTTGTACTTATCAAGTGGATCTTGAACTACATTCAAAAATTTCTTGAACGCATCCATTTCCTGTGAAAAATTACATTGAGCTCTGCGGAGGAGTCCCTTCTGGTTCTTAGCACCGTTGTATTCGGAGCCGCCTAATTCGTTTCGGACATTGAAGTGCTTAGAAGTTGGGAAATTATTATATAATACTTCCCGTGAACCAAAGACTCACTTTCTTATCATAATTATCTTGATAGTCGTCGTGGAAATATGCATACATTTTCAAAATGCGACAGCAGCCATTTGTTTGGGATTTTGATAGAACTTTCCGAATTGGAAAACGCTATAGATAATACGACCCTCAGGACTACGAGAAAGTAATTAAGAAAGCTTATGACATACCATGTTTAAATTTAGCTAATACTCGAAATTTCTTAAGATTCATGCCAAGTGGGACTATTGTAGACTATTGAAATTTTGCATAAGGCATTTTCCAATGTGGCTTTTAAAGGTCGAAAGTTAAAATTTTACAGATTATTTTTTTTTTAGCCAAGTTCTTAATCATTTTATTTTGTATGCACACTAGGTTCCAGAATTTTTTCCAAACCAGTTGTAATAAAAATGTCAAAATGTTTTCTTGTTTTTGTTTTATTTTATAATTTTTTTTGTTGGTAATTAAGAAACTGTAATTTCAATAAACTTAAATTTCCACTCATCCATCAATCTTTGCCTCCATTATGCGTAAAGTTTATATGTACTCTCTGTTTATTTTATCAATTTCATTTATATTTCTTTTCTTTTTAATTAATTTTTACCATTGCAGAAAAGACTGTTTTTTAAGTTCACATTAATATGGTAGCGTTAATTCAAATGTGAAAATATACAATTAATTTTTCTTTTTTGATGCACACACATATATGTATTCGCTTATTATTTGCTGGACAATAATATCTATAAATATATATTTATTTATGCGTATATGTATGTAATTCATATTTGTCAGTTTCTCTTTTGTCATATGAGAGGATTAGCTGTTATTATTCATCTTGTTTCGATACACACATACAGTTTTTTTGAATTACAATAAAATTGAATATAATTAGCTTTTAATACATATGCATGCATTTTGATTAGTATCAACGATTTTTGTTGCTGTCGCTTTGGTTTTTATTTTCTTAGTACTTGAAGTTAAGCAATTTGCAATTGAATCGCATTGATTTAACTAAATTTTGTATAAACAATGAAGCAAATTTGTTAACATACTTACGTACATAAGTATGTTTACTTTTTGAATGGTAAGGTCAGTTTTACACATTAAGTCAATCGAGTTGAAAAAGTTTGACGTGCGTGAAAAGTTTGTAAAGCCTTGCGTACAATTATTAAACTAATGTGACCCGAAACGCATCTCGGGCATGCACACTTGATACATGATTATAGAGATTTGGCTAAATCTTACCTATGCATGTATGTAGTAGTTATAACACATTGAAAAAACACATACATATGCATACGAACAACAATACACCGAGACATTTTTTAACAATTGCACATTGACATCGATAGTTGTTGTTTATTTATACAAGTACACATACATATACATAAATAGTACTTAAATGTTTCCATTGCATATTAATATTAAATATGTTGGTTGCATATATAACACACATCAAGAGAGGCGTCTTATTGCCACTCTCTTCAATTAAACCCGTAATGACGAATGCGCCAGTTGCTGGATGTAAATGGGGGGATGGGCCAGCCTGGCAGCTGAAAACGCTTGGAAATGGTTAACAATTGAGGACTATCTTCAAAACAATTGACTTAAAAACATTTATCTTGCACAACGTACATACATACTATAAATCAAAGACGTTCTGTCCCTTCGATTCTGCTTTCATTTGCGCGCACAATAAAACTCGTGCCTAAAAGCTTGCTACGCAAATTTTGGAGGTTCTTGCATATTGCAATGTACATAATGAATGAGTGAAATATTCTTGTGATCTTGCTCTTGCTCATGTTGTTGTAAATGTCGTACAGAGTTTTATTTTCAAGTTATTTCGTGTGATTCTTCCGATATTATGTAGCTTCTGTGCACATTTAAATATTTCACACAAAATGTATTATTTATTTAGTTGTTGTTGTAATGTTTTATGCTTTAATTTACACCATTTTAATAATGTATTTGCTTCACAAGAAAAATGTTGCTCATAATATACTTGTACACGAATTTCAAGGGATTTGTTTATATGTATTGCATAATCATACCAAGAAAAGAACGAAATCGTTATTTAACATTTAAGCAAGACATTTATGTATAAAAAATAGCACGACCAATTTTCTCAACACATGATTATATAGCGTACATTATCTCAAACAAAAGCAACGTATAGTACATATGTATGTATATTCCATAAGCCTTTTGCGCATTTTGGTCAACCATCTACTGTCCAAATGCAACCCTGTGTGTGGCATTAACAAAATGTAATAAAAAACAATACAAAACATATTTTTGGGTAAAAAATAAAAATGTTTGGTTTTCGGTTTTGTATTTTTATTATTTAGAAAAAGAATTACAAATGATATATAATTTGTTTCTTTTGGTTCTTGTTGTTGTGGTTGTAGTTGTTCATTTTGACGAAAATTAATCATTATAATTATACAGAGTTAACTGAAACGTAAACCAATTGACGAAATAATAATAATAATAATTGTACAAAATTGTTGACTGAAGTGAATGCGCAGCTTTTGTTGTTGTTGCTGTTAATGTTGCTCATGTTGTTTTCATTTGCTTTAACAATGCTGCAAAAACAAAAAAGAATCAACTTTCTGACTACGGTGTTTATTATTGTTAATGTAGAGCTGTAGTTTGTAGCTTATTATTGTTAATATTTAAAATTTTGTTCCAAAATGAATTGCCTTCGTTAAAACATCATCATAAATAATATTACTTTTAGGGCACGAATTGAAGAACTGAAAGATGTTTGTCTGTACAATCAAAACTGCGCAAACATAAATTTAACGTTCTTGTTCTTCTTCTAGTTGTTGCTTTCCTAAATATGCAGCTTTTGCTTTTGTTGTTGTTGCTTTAATTTTTAGATTGTTTGTAATTTGTTTTGGTTTTGACTTTATCTTTCTTTTTTACTTAGCAAGTTAAATCGTAGCTATGCATTTATTTATAAGAGAATATTAGTAGCAAAGAAAACTCTATTTGCATGTGAAAGCAAACCGTGACTACAAACAACACCATTTTGGAGGCGTGTGACCAGCCACTGTTTGCTCCAAACTTGACATTTGTCGGCTCGCTGTAGGTTTTTCTTTTTACAATATGCGCTTTAATATATCAATTTGTGTTGAGTGTTGTTACTTTTTGCTTTTTGCTTGTTGTTTGTTGTATGCTTCAATTTGCTGTATAAATTGTAGGTAATAGTACTGTCTTAATCCGATTCCTCTTCAGTTTCATGATCAGCATCATCACGAGCATCGACATCATCATAGTCATAATCATAATCGTCGAGCTGACTTTGCATTCTGCTGTATGTTGCATTGCTGTTGTTATTGCTGTTACTGCTGCTGCTGCCTGGTATTTTCGATTTTAAAGATTTTATCATATTTCTTGCTTTTGTTTTTGTATTACTGAATAATATTTGCATAGTCAAAAAGGAAACATTTTAGTTGTTTGGTTAGTTGTCACCACCCTCCTGTGGCTCGTCCCCATCACCCTGGGTATCGGAGGTCCAGAGAGTCAGGTTATCTCTCAACAATTGCATGATGAGTGTTGAGTCTTTGTATGAGTCCTCATTGAGTGTATCCAGCTCGGCTATCGCATCATCGAATGCCTGTGTGGGTCGCGAAAAATCAAAGTGTGCATTAGTAAGTGTATATATGAAGGAAGTTTGGGCAAAAATCTGACAAGACAAATGCAAACTGGTTTGACCAGGTAAAGAAAAGCAGTTCAATTCAATTAGAAAGAAAACATCAAAAGTTTTGGTTTTTTTTTTTGTTTTTTTTTTTAGTAATTTATATACTTACATATACATACATACTATACATACTATTCATACATATAGACGAGTATATGAGTATAATTTAGCTTAACGCCATGATCTGGTTCGTTGGAATATACTTTATTAAAAAGCAAAATCTGTTTGTCTGTGTATGAGGTGTGTTTTGTTTGATTGTGGCAAACTGAAACTCAAAAAATATATGTATATGCCTAGAGGTTAAAGCATGTTCTTGTACAATACCAAAAATAAATTTCACCAGCAAGGTAGAGAGACGAGTGCTGCATTAATCAGTAAGGGGCAGACAAGTTAGTAGAACACATATACGATTATTATTTGGAAATTAGTTGGCACATGCCGGGCATTTTACGAAGATCACTGTAAGTTGTTATTATTGCAGGAAGCGTTTCTTTAATATATATATATACATGACAAAGAGTTGGGCAAGAAAATTCAATATATTAAAGTGATAACAAACAACAATTAAATTGAACAATAAATGACATTTGTATAAGTAACTGAACCTGTTTAGCTAAATGACAAGCCCTCGCTGGTGAATTGATAATTTCGTAATAGAAGACGGAAAAGTTGAGTGCAAGACCTAATCTGATTGGGTGTGTTGGCTGCATTTTGGCCTTAGCAATATCGAATGCCTCCTGATAGGCTTTTTTCGAGTCCTCAACGACAGCTTAACGTATTATAAATTTGGGTGATTTCGTTTGTTTTTGATGCATAGAAAAATAAATTAAAAGAAACAAATGTACACAATTAGTTAAACACTCTAATGATAGGGTCCGTAATTTATGGTAATTAGACTTAAAAAACTATAGAATTTCGATAGTGAATTAAAATGTTATCGCTTCGCTTTCGCTTATTAATTTTTCATGTTTGCATTTGCTTGCCACCATTTTCTGCTCAGTCATTTTTAGTTATGTATTAACCTGTTTGGCCAATTGGCAAGCTTTGTCTGGAGAGTTCAAAATCTCATAATAGAAGACTGAGAAGTTAAGTGCAAGACCCAAGCGGATTGGATGTGTTGGCTGCATTTTACCCTTGCTTATATCAAATGCATCCTGGTATGCGGTTTGGGAGTCGTCAACGACAGCTACACGGAAGAATTTCGTTTACAATTGTAATATATTTATATTTGTTGTATATGTAACTAATATATTCAAGTTGCGATCACTATTTACGCAAATTCGGCTTGAGCGATACTTACTGTTGCGGGCGTCTCCTGTGGCCACCTCAGCTAAATACCTGTAATAATCTCCCTTCATCTTGAGATAGAAAACCTTGCTCTCTGGATTGCTGGCTTTTGGAATAAGATATTTGTCCAGAAGTCCCTGCAAAAAGAAAAATCAAAAATTCAAATCAATTCAAAAATTCAATTCAATTATATGTATAGCTATATGTGAATATTTAGAAAATCTTGTTTTGTAGCCCGGGCATGAAATAGACTAATGCATTGAGTGCAAATTAGTCTATGATTAAACGGGTTGTAGTTATCTAGCCTCCAAAACTGTTAAAGTTGCTTTATTTTAAATGCGAGCAACTCTCTTTTAATGTAATAAAGGCAAATATTTTTTAAGCCTCCACCTTCTGCACACAACCTGTTACACCAACATGCCTCTTTCAACAGCGGCAGTAAAGTGCCAACAATATGTGTGCGTCAACAAGAAGGGAAACAACAACATGTACACTTATGTATAAAGTATATTATGTATGGGGAATGTACAGTGAATAAGTTTAGCCTTAAACAAAATTACCTTTTAATAACCTTAAATGTACCTTTTACCTAAATATACTAAATGGGTTCACTCAATAAATTTAGGGTTGATAATACAAACTAAAAATACTCATTACATTTTGAATTTTAAATTATAATGTAACAATTTAATAACTCACCAATAATAATAATAAAAAGCTATGTTGTATGGTTTTCAATTTAATTTAAAAGAGGATATAAACAAAGGGGATCTAAGATTTAATGTTACACTTTTTCAATTACATAAATTTGTCTCGAATAAGCAGCATTCTTTTGCGTGGGGACTGCTATTTAGTATATACTTTGTGACGTGGCCTCTGTCCTGGTTTTAAACTTTTTAAGCCAGCTATCTTTGCTCAAAGAACCCAAATTTTGATAAAACCGCTGACTTAACAAGCAGTGGATGCTATTAATAGGCAGGTAGCAAACACAGCAAACTTGCTCTTGTTTATATGTATTGCAATGTTTGCCTCTTTAGCATTTGCTTAAGAATTGCCTGTCTGGGGCGAAATTGAATTTCAGTAAACCTTTTGACACATATATACGCCTTTACACATGATTGGAGTTCAAAGTGGTATTGATTTTTTTTGTATGCATGCACGCACGCAAACTCCCGGATGCCCTGTCAACAGTTTCACGCACGACACGCTCGTTGCTCATTAGTTTATTTTAAAACATATAATGCGCGCCTAAAGCGCCAAAAGTCTGCTACCATGGTGAGTGTTTCAAAAACTTTGGGCAAGCCATAGCCGACAGACATGGGCTGAATGAGGTGTGCCTCTTATGCGATTAAGGGACGTTTCCGCAATTCGCTTATCGACGGAAATTGATTTTTGTGCGCTTACTGCTAGCTAACGTTCTTGTTGCATTAACAACAGCAACAAATACAGTATTCTTACTTGTCCTATCATGGTTCTTTGCACTTTCAGCCCGATGGCCTTTTGTAGGTGCATAATAGCAAGCTGAGGTAAAAATTTAATTAAAATGACATTGATAAATTTTCTAAACAAGTCGGCTGGTCTTAATTGAAGATGATTATGTTGCAACACAAAAAACAGAAGAGAAAGGTTTGCCCATATACGAGTATATGCCACAACATCATATTGGACGCATCGACAGCAGACCGGGGAGTAGGGTACGTTTAAATGGAAAATTTCAGTTTAAAAATAGATTTATTGATTGTAATACAATTTGCTGCACACACACAACAAATCCTGGGCATTACATCGACGTTGGCAACAACCAAGAGAGGCAGACTAGTCGCTCAGTCAGCCAGTCAGCTAGGCAACTTCAAAGTAGCACCTAATGGCAGCTGGCTTGTCGTGGGCGGCCTCGCTGTATTAAGTATATATGTATGTATGTAGTACATACATATAATACACATTTGTACATAAATGAATGTACAAGTAAGAATACGTCTCTCGCATGTCTCTCTCGCGCAGTATGTGTGCGTGTAGTGTGAGTGTGGGTACGATGTGCCTACTTACGAGTAATCCCCGCCAGCGTCGTCAACACGTTAAATTTGTACACAAAAGGTAAAACAAACTTTTACACTGCTCTGCTCTGTTCAGCTCAGCTCAGCTCGGCAATATAATTACAAGAGCCAGACATCTCACCCTCTATAAAAGTGTAGACAGGCTACGAGGCATTTATTTTATGAGCACAAGCTGTTGTTGCTTGGCAAGCTTCAAACATGCGCAGTGTGTGGCTTTGGCCATTGCTGCCGCTGCTGCTGCTATGACTCTGACAAGTTTGTAATTGCTTGCTAATAAAGCGACAAGACAAAGCTCAAGACATTGATAGGCACCGACAGCGCCGCACCACCCACAGACTCAGTCTGAAAGACAATGAAAGGCCATGACGTGCTTAGGGCTAATGGCAACGGATAGTTTACACATCACCCGTGGATGCAGACGCATTTTATTATACTATACATAGTTACAACATTGCACATTTGACTCATGCATATACTTGTATGTAAAAAAATTCGAATTAGGCTTAAAAAATCAGGAGAGTGGGCTCTTTTTATAAAATAAGTTTCTTTCCTAAATAGATAAAAAAAACCCGTGTAGCTAACACCCAAAAGGAGGTGTCGAGCCCCATCATACTTAAGTATAAAGGAGAAGGTGGGGTTAACCGAATATCTGTTATCAATTTTAAATTGCTGGCTTAGTGTAAATATAATTTAATATAATTTACTAAGCATATGTATTTTTAAAATAGCCAACTTACCAAAACTTCATAACAAATTTCTCTAAGCTCCTTCTCCACACGCTCTCTGTACTCGCGGGCGAGCTGTTGTTTTCTGGCGGATGCTTCGGTTTTTTGCTCAATGGAGGAAATAACGCGCCACGATGATCTGTGGAAATTATGTATAACGCACAATAAAAGTGCTATAGTTTATTGGATTGGGCGTCATGCAGTAGTCTACCTACCTGCGTGCACCAACCACATTTTTGTAGGCAACGGAGAGCAGATTTCTTTCCTCATTTGATAGTTCCACGCCGGTCTCTGTGACTGATTTCATGGCTTGGGCCATGTCATCATAACTATTTGGGGCAAAGTATGTTTTTGATTAGTTAGTGCCCCTGTTTAAAACTTGACTTCTTGTTTTTTTTTTTCCTTACCGTTCCGATTGTTCGGCAAGTTTTGCCTTCTGGACCAATTCCTCCTTATCGACTGTAGACATTTTGTTATTGATTTGTTTTTGCTTTCAGTGAACTGACGAAAAAAACTGAATATGTGTGTTGGTGTTTGTGTGTGTCAGTGTATGTGAGTCTGGCCACGCACTTTCTCCACACGCAGTTGATAGACAGCAGAGAGATTAATTAACGTAAGAGGAATCTACAACGGAACGCGTCGCTCACAGTGTGACTTACTATCTGCAAAGAATAAAATCAGCGAAAGGATCAATTAAAAATTTGTCATTTAATTGAAGCTAATGCTAGTACTATAGTGTTAACAAGTCCCAATTAATATTTCTGCATGGACAGACAGCGGGCCTGGATGATAACCAATTACTAGTTCAATTTACGCACAGGTGCATTGGGCTGTAAATGCGCTTCTATGAACTCTGTTACTAGTCAGATAAAGGGGGTGTGATGGGGAGACATTGCCTGGCAACAATTTTAACGAAATATTGCTTTGCCCAATAGAGAATTTTAAAGTGATTGCAATAACTCAGAATATATATATATAGTACATAGTACGGGCTTTCATTTCGACGTCTGTCAAGGCACAAAACAATAAATAATTCATTAGTGCTTTTGTTTGGTCATTCTTAAGTATTGTCAGCTTCGTCATCATTATTATTGCTGCTCGTCAGCCATCTCTTATATCGGGCCAGCTGCTTGACATTGGCCATTGAACGTGTGTGGGATGCGTAGATTGTTGCGATGTGATTTTAATGCGCTGGGAAATTCTCGATGCATAGTATATATACGATTGTTTGTGTTAAGGTCAAATGTAATTAGCAAATCATTTACAATGTACATAGAGAACCCGAACTAAAAACAAACAACACAACAGCGAATGGCACACGCCAAGAAAAACGATGTTAAGTGTGAAAATTTGGCGTTATATGTATGTAAGTATATAAGATATTTACGTACTCGTACATATATATCAGTGTGAGTAATGCGGTCAACTGTGCACCCGCTCGGTGTGTGTGGGTGGGGAAAGAAAAACTTAATTAAAATTAGAAAAGAGAGAAATACACACGAACATACATACTATCTAACAAAGAAACAAGAAAAAGAGCTTACAGAGGTGCAATCAAAGGTGAGACAGTAACGGCACTCAATTAAATTGGTAGAATGTACACTAACTAGCCTATAAAGGTCACTAACGGATTGTCAATGGGATAGTAAATGCAAATTCTAAATTCTAAAAGCGCGATCTAAATGTAAGAAAATGAAGCCTATTTAATAATACATATTTGAATCTATTAAATTGGAATTAAAATGTTTCTGTAGTTCAATTTGCAAATAATGCTTAAATTTAGGCCTTCAACCAAATAAAATTAAAAGAAAGATACAAATATTCAAATGATATTCATATGTGTTAATCTTATATGTACTATAAGATGGTGGCTTTCAATTCTTAGCAAGAACGGAAGTTGATAAATTTGAATAAAAGCGCATTCAATATATGTATGTTATATTTCATCTCTCGTCGGAATGGAATACAAAATCTGTACAAATTTTTGGTTAAATATTGGTTGAAATATTTCTTGACGCATATTAGCCATGGGAATTTATGTCCATATGCCACAACGCATCTATCGAAATACACCGACGTGTACTGTCAGCTCTACGCTACCCTCCTAATCAGACGACGGAACATACGCTTGATGCACTTTACAGAATGCTGCACAATATCAAAGGCATGTTTAGATCATGCGTGGAAAATTCCAAACTCATGCACCGTTATGGTCATTTGTATATGTATCACTCATACACATATATAATATGTATGTACTATACATACACACATATATATTGGCTGGCCAAAACTGAAACTATCGCTATTATATGCCATTGCCTCTTGCACTTGAAATGTCAGCCTGTGTTATGGCATTTTACTTTACCTGTACCTGTGAAGGTCACAATTGTGCCGCATGCTGACCTTGCAAATGCAGCAGCAGCTAAAATAAAATGCAAATATTCATCTATGCGTGCGCCGCACACCTTCTTCGTAACATATTATTTATATCTAGTTCGATTTTTCACTGTCATTTAATTAAATTTGGGATGTTAAATAAGCACAAATATGGATTCAATATGAGCCGCACATACTGTTAAACCCTAATACACTTTCAAAGCTCTTACTCCAAACATCCAATGCTTCCCACTAAAGCGATGGACATCTCTATTTAATATTGAATATTCTTATTAATTGCTGTGATGATTAGTTGAAATCCAATTTATGTCAACAGTTTTGAAAAGTATAAATTTTGCCAAAAATGTCCCATGAAAGATTTCAGACATAATAAAACGAATAGAAGTTTCTGCAAAATATAAATACTCATATATATTTAAATCATAGTGTGAACCAAGATAATTCCAGCGAAAAGGCAACATGCACATGTTTATTCCAACTGAATATTTATGTGCGAACAGGCCACCACCCCCGTTTAATTTGTGTGGAATTAATACGCCAACGCGCCGCTCTTGCAAACAGCACACATACATAAATAAAAGTGAACATGCCTTATGCCATAAAGAGTATAATATTATGACAGAATTTGGTTGACAATGTGTGGCAGATCCATGCATATATGGTGTAAGTCTGTGGGTGTGTGGTTTTTCAACCCAAAGGAAATTTGTCTACTCAATAGCGTTGGTCAGCTGCATATTACATGTAAAAACAAGTTAAATTAGGTTCATAAAAACCAATTGTTGTGACTTGAATTCAAATATAAAGACAAGCTAAAAGAAAAATTAGCAAGACGTCACCGAAATCCTAATAAAAGGTAAACTTTTCATATACTCGAAGTTCATTATAATTTGGCCGGTACACTTGAAGCAATAACTTCATTGGTTTGCACGCCATTTTCATTCGCCTTTGTCCGCCTACAATTTGTCCAATTGTTGTTTGCATTGCAAATATGCCAGAGCACAAGTTGAAGTAGAGTAGTAGAGACCGAAGTCGAAAAAAGCGCTAAAGGCAAATGCCAGAATTAAGAAGACGACTAAACGAACGTTGGCTACCAACAAAAGCAAGCAGGCAATGGAAGTTGGCATGAAATGAAATTTACATATTTTATTGCGGTTCGTGGACTCTTTATGTGAGAGACGAGTCTAAGTACATACAATGATGATTAAAGCAATGATGATTACGTTGTTGCCCCTGCTCGTTTAATGTTCGGTTTTGAAGCAGTTTCTCAAGCATAATATTAGCGCTGGCATTTGAAACAATCAACTTCAAATTAAGGACGAGAAAATATATTTAAACGAACTCTGTAAATCAAACTTAATTAAAACGTAGCACAGAATAACTTCAACACGATTAAGCAACACAAATTCTTTAAGTCTAGGCAAAAGTTTTCCAATAAGTTAGGTAAATATTTCATGTACAGCGGGATAGGGGGGATAGCAACATAATAAGGAAAGCAAAAGAGAGCGTAACAAACTCTTGAAAATCGCATTAAAATGAAGCCTGTGCACAAAAACTTTTCTCAGCGAGCTGCAATTGTATTTGACTTGAGCGTGTTGATGAACATTGCGTCCACACACACACACACACACACACAAACGCAATTACAGTTGGCAAACATTGAAATTTCACGCTTAGCAAATTGGTTTTTTTTTGCATTGTGTTTTACCCCAAAAATATATTTGCTTACGTTCAGTTGTTAGTGTTTGTTGTATTGTTTCTACTTTTTAGCCAGAATTCTTGCACTGCACACCACTTCACGGCTGCCCAAGCTAAGCAAATTTTAGATTGTTGCTTGTATTAATGTACACACATATATAAGTACATACGTATAAACACATATAGACATGAGCTGATAGAATACGAGAAGCTGTTGCGGGACAGAAGACTGCTGCCTGCTCTCTACCGTTGATGAAGTGTTACTGAAAAGGTTCGAAGTTCAACTGAAAGCGCTTGGCAAGTGCGAAATAGCATAAAGGCTACGCAACGCCACGCAGGACGAAGGCAAGCAGGCAGATGGGCAGGCATGTACGCGACAAAGGCGCCAAGTTGCGCAGTTTAGGGGCCAGCAAAAACTCAGAATTCGAGATAGCAGCTGCGCGTTACGAACTTGTTGTTGGGTATTTTTTTCCTTTTTTCATTTGATTCTTGCCGATGGGCTGGAACCATACTCTGGGTAGGCGGCAGCCTTTCAGCTACAACAAGTTGTTCGTGTTGTTAGTGCGCATGTGTGTAACACAGACGTGAGTTAACAATAGCACGTTAAGTATACGCCGTGCAGTACATGAGTGCAAACAGCTGCCGCCTGAAAGTATACTATGCAAAAACGTAGCGCACAAATACACAAATCAGAAAGCCACAAGCGACTAAAAATATAAAAAGCGGCAGTGGGAAATTATAAGAGTTTGTTAAATGCTCAAACATTATAGCCCAGAAAAGTTAATATGTACTTGAAGTTTCATTTATTTAATTACAGAATGAATGAATTTCTCTTACAAATGTGCACCAAATTTGTATTTTAAAGTTTACTTTGATTTGACAATGCGAATTTTACAATTTTGGGAAAATATTAATAAGTTACGCTTTATAAAAGTCTTATATGAGAGTTGAGTTTCCATCAAAATGTTCGGTGATAGAGAACTAATATCGTACATAGCACACGAATTAGGGCATATTTTTTTGACATATGATTATAATCATGAGTGCGATTTATTTTATACCTTGACTATAAATTAATTGAAAATATTGGCATAATATATATTAACTGTATTTTAAATAAATAACAAAGGAAATATACCCGTATCAGTGGATACGTAGTTGGAAACATACACAGCTGTACTCTTGTTGGTATATGTATGTTTGCGTATGTGTGTGCATGCTCCTAATTAACTCGCACACAATTATGCATTCCCTTGTAATTAGCCTAAATTACAATATGCATAAATTAAGGCCGAAAACAGTAAAACAAATGTGCGTATAATGCCTTAAAGAATTTGGACGATGCTAACAACAAGTGGCCAAGTTTTTTAAGCCGCTTGCAAACAGAAGCAAAAGCAAAATAAAATCAATGCTAGTCACGCCCTCGGCAGAAAAGTCACTAGTTTAATTATTTTTGCCTTCAACAAATTCCCTCCGAGCACTTCGACATTTGAAAAACGAAAACGGCAAATTATTGATGGAAGAAGGAGTCGCTCAATTGAACACTTTGCCATAGACAGAAACGAGG